CACCCCACAGCAGTCACAAGGCATTTGGATGTCTACACAGGGGAGGCTTTTACAGATAAATAACATGCATAAAGTACATTAAATACATGTATAATCTTATGTTGCTGAAATGTCTCTTGTTGAAGGATCTATTTAAGGATGTACTTCACCCTGTGTTGCCAGCTATGACTAAACTCCAGGGAGCAATTTGAAACACAAACTATCTTTTAATTATGTGATGAACTCCTTATTATTCATTGACATTTTGGGGGAGAGACTGGTGGGTGCTGGCTATTCCAACATGCCTGATAGCCAGAATTAACCTACACTAAGCATGTGCTACAACCTAAGTGCGCATTTACTTTTTTTTAAATGTAATTTAATGTGACCTAATGTGTGAATTAAATGCAAATACATTTGGTGAACCTTATATAAGCAAATAAAAAAGATGAATTTCAAGTTCCCCAATTTTACATGGTGTTTAGAGAGTGGGGAACTATTCACTTTGGTGTATAGTGAAACATAGAGTACTTTCCTTTGTGCAGCAGTTTCCAAATAAAACCCAAACATACAACTTCAGGCACATAACATTAGCTTTGCCTTGTTCTTACATGTCTGAATTCCTATGCCAGACATGTACAAATGTGTACAGCCCATAATTATAGTGTGTTTACACTCACCAGTTGTGATCCAGGACTATCCTAGAAAAGTTTGTGCAATCATCATCAGCTAGGCGCGTCTCAATTTGAATACTGTTACACTAGTCAAGGTAGCAATTTAATGTTCTTGTAAACAGTTATTTGCAAGGGAAAAACAGAAACCAAGTGTGTGAAAGAGTGGAACGATAGGTGTGAACATCTACTGAGTGCTGTGTTTCAGTCATTTACTGTATCATCAGTCTGCGGACTTAGTAGACAGGCTTACTCTTTAGTCAGTGAGGTATTCAGAAATCTTTCACTTCTTCAAATGTGAAAGTCAGCATAATTCCATCAACTGTTACTGCAATACCTGAATAATACTGATCTTGGAAACTATTGAAATCTATAACATTGTTTTTTTTTTTTTAAGGAATAAAAGTGTATTGAGTTTTGCATTAGAACAAAATACAGTAGGGTAGGTGATCTCATGATCAAGATTACATTGATTAACAGACTATATCCTAAGTACAACAACAATGAGTTTTAGTTCCAAACCAACATAGGTTACCAAGAAAAACATCGACCACCTAACAATACTGATCATTTTTATTTTTTACATACACTATTTCACAGTTTTCAGTAAGAGTAAACTAGGATTTTAAAGGTATTCCTAATCAGAGCTGTGCTATGTTCTTGATGTTTGGTTTCTTTGCTTGTACAAATACAGTATCGCTATAAATTTAATATTCAATTTTTACACAAAACAGTATAACAGCTGAAAAGAGGCAAGATGGATGCTAGAGTGGTGTAAGTCCTCAGACAGATGGGCAGTGCAAACAGCAGGGTCAGTCCACTCATGACAAGGTCAGGTCCAGACAAACAAAATCCAAGTTCCAGAGAGGTAAACAGAACCCTGATTTACAAGAGCAGAGGTAAACAGCCTCAATTTTTAAAGAGTTTAGAATGTTCACACAATACGTTGTGTAATATTCACTTCAGTTTTATAACCATGTAAAAAGCAAAATCCTGTTTACTTATTTAATTTGTATGGTTGGGTATTCAAATCTACTTTTCACATGATAGGATAATTGAAGTGAATATTCACACAATTTCTTGTGTGAAGATTCTCAACTTCTTTAGTAAATCAGCCTCAAAGTGTCAGTGTCAGACTGTCATCTTCAAAGCTGCCTGTGTTAGGCTGATGCCAGATGGGCAACTCTTTCTAGTGAATCTGCCACTGGTGATTTGTCACCAGTGGTAGGATTGCTAAGAGTTTGCCTGTTTGTCCCTATTGAATCGCTTCCTCTGTAGCTGGGCCAGTGAGATGTTGCTCCCATTAATAGCGATCAAGATTAAACAGCATTCGGGCCAACAACAGGGCAACATCTCACTGCATATAGCTACAGGTGGACCAATTCCATAGAAACAGACAGACATAATCTTCAGCGATCCTGCCACCGGCAATTTGTCTCTACTGGCAGAATGGCTTATCTAACATCATATTTAAATGTTGTCTGTGTGTCAATATGATATCAATCTGTTTATAAATGATAATTTTTTGTATTCATAAAGATAAGTGTGTAGTGTTTGTGTCAGTACCCACCTTTATTTCAATGAGAGCAAGCTCTCATTGGCAACTTTCATCTGTTTGATTTAATGTTTACTTAACCGCTTATTACTGTCATGAGTTCTCTTGTGTATCCAAAGTTACTTAAAATGCATCTGTACCAAGATAAAAAAGTATAAAACAACCATTTAATAGAAAATTAGCCACCATAATGTGCAGATGTGTCTCCCATGTACAGCACTGCCCAGGCTTGTCAATCGGTTGCTCGAACACTTAGCACTGTGTTATAGGCTACAACCTGGACATAGCTGTGTGCTGACTTTCAATAAATTGGTGGTGACATATGCACTTTAGGTAGACTTGTTGGGACAACATCTAAAGAGATTTACAAACTAGAGGTGTGCTCTTTTACTTTGCAATGCCTACTTTCCTGTGAAAGGGTATGTTTTTTAGTACAAGTTTGCTTTACATTTTATAAGTAAAATTGATCATGTGGGATCCACGAGAAACAATTCCATTCAATCCCATAGTATAAGCTTTTTTTGAATGCACATGTATTTTTGTGTGTGTTTATATGGATACTGAATAAGCCCCACTTTAGCAATAGCTGGTGTACTAATTGATGTGTGAAATTACAGTGTAAGATACCAATGGTTTATAAAGAATACAGCATTTTTATTATTGTAAAAAATTATTTATTGAAAAAGGTTAACACAATAACAAACAATTATGATATCTGTTTACTTATATATATCCTATACAAGGTAAATCCATCTTTTCTGGATAAATCAATATTTTAAGCTAGGGCAGACAAATTATTATCTTTTTTTAAATGATATTCCTATTTTTTGTTTCTATTATGCGTCCACGGGATCCAAGTATTTCCATTACACTCAGTCAAGAATGTTCATATTTTGTGTGTTGCCATCTGGGAACTGTAAAAATATGGGGGCAATATACTAAAGGAATAGAGCATGTTAACTTTGTAAAGTGTAGGTTCACTTAACATAGTGAATGACGTTTGTTCACTTCAATAACCCATTTTTGTTTTGTTATTTTAATTTCCATTGCATGTGATTGGGCATTCAAAGTGAACTCAGCTTCTCCTTGTAAACAGCCTTTACCCCTTTAGTAAATCAACCCCAGTTTAATTTTGTGTCTTAAGGAACAATCCATATTTACCTAACAAACAGTCCATATATAATGGAGACAGCTGTGAAATTACCCTAATGACATTGAGCAAAGTTTGTACACAACTGATAATTCTAAAGCCTTTACAGGCTTAAACAATAGAAAATAACTGCCCTGCTTTAAAGTATCACATTTGTCACAAAAGTGGAGTTTTATTTCAGACCACAATTCCAAACGTAATATCTTGACACCTTCAGCCGTGCAAATATCTTGAAAAATATCAAGTTCATACCAAACAAATGTTATCCTAAAGCTCTAAATTCTAATTCTCCTTAATATACATTCTAATAAAGAAAATAAACACAGTGTATTCTTATACTTGCCAAATATTACAATATACATGTATATGATCTTCTGTAAAGGCAGTGATGTGGTTTAAATGACCCTATAATGAAACAAGGGTACATGGGTTTAAAGCATTTCTGCTTGAGCCAGTAAAATTAACCTGACATGTAGGATATCAATTATTTATATTGTGCAATTAACATATACATTATCTTATAGAAGATAACTAATCAAGATCTCACTTACAGGTGCCTGGTCCACTGCTGACTGATGTGGTTCCATCCACCATCCCCTACATCACTACTGTGTCTTTTAATGGATTTGGGGCCAGCGTATGGAACCACAGCAGGCACCAGTGGATCAGACATCCAACACACCTAGAAGGCATAAGAGATTCTTTGGCAATAGTAGCTCTTAAAGGCAGAGGTGTAAATGGCAGGACAAATAAGCATTAAAAGTCTTCTTTTACAGTGAGTCCTTTCCTTTGTTTAGTTTTTTTTCCAGGTAGTGATACGTTTAAAAAAAAAAATATGTGTAAAGCTTCTGGTGACATTTTCTCATCTCAAAAACTGTAAGTATCATGGTCTAGAATATTATCATCAGGAACATTTACATTATGCCAAAAACCAAGACAACCCTGCTTCCTAAAACATTTAAATTTTCAGTTAGATTCACCCTATATTCACCACAAAGAAAGATACTGGCAATGACAGATTAGTTAAAATATAATGGATGAATTATTGGTATGTGGAAAAAATATTACATTTTACATTTCCCATTTTACAATTACATTTCCCATTACAGGATCTGACCAAAATTGGTTTCCTTATGAATAGCAGTTGCACAGTAGTGGCTTAGGCGACCCTGCTTGTGAGCCAAACTTCTTTCTTCCTTCTATAATGATAGTTAGTTACTAGATAAGCCCAGCTTATAATAGGGGTGGTTTAACTAAAGTCATATTCACTGCTATGTTCTTCATTTTAGAATTTTGTTCTAAGATGGGTATTTCGGTATTATTTAAGTAAAGCAATATTTCTTTAGAATTCAAATTCACCCAAAAACTAGCTTCTATTTTGGATTCTGGACCGGCAATTTAGTTCAGGAAATTGCTGGCTTTAGTTCAGGAAATTATGCAGACTATTTACACAGCATTTCATTAAGTGATATAAATAGTTACATAACTGTGTTTAACTATAAATAATGTGCTGCATGTCCACTAACTCTTAAATATGCAACCTTGCCTTTGAGCTCCCATGTAAAAAGAGTTCTTAATACTTATAAACCTGTATATCAGTATGACAATTACTGCTTGGTACTATGAATACTATTAATGTAGAAATGTATTTTAATGGCCGTTTAGCGGTCTTCGCAATAATATTTATTTATCACTACTAGGAGACTTTTGAATGCCTACGCATGCTGCAATATGTTGTATGTTAACAAAAGATTCAACTGGGTAATTTTCAGGTTTACACATTTCAGTCTTGCTGCTTTTTACCTGTCTTGCATGTGTATGAATATACATTTGAACCAGTTCATAAGTTTACTGAAAAATAGGTAATTTGTGGGTTATTTTCAAAGTGGAATGGCAAAGAAAATTTTCAAGTCCCACTGAAGTGATCACAATTGCTCAGCATATGAATTACACGTAGTCTTTTCCTGCAGGTGCTGAAGGTGCATTTTTTTGGTAGCTTCTAGGTGGTGGGTATGAAGTTTCCCTTTTAGGACAGGAGCAGCACAGCAAGGCCCCTCCTAAGATTGCCATTGCAGCACCTGCCCAACCAATAAATAAGGCTGGACCAAATTCATATCTTTAAGAAATAAATGATGATGTATTATTATTAATATTAATAATAGTATAATTATTATTTAATTACAACATTTTAGGTACAAATTTCTCTTTACTATATATTGTTTGCTACCATACCTTCAGTGCCATATTCTAAACATGGCTTGTTGAGCTGCCAAGTGAATCTTACAGGGTTATTGACAAAAGGGTGAAGGGTTTGAAGAAGGCAGAAGAAGTGAACAATCTAGGCCAAAATAGCTGATTTTGAAAAATTCTCCAATTAAGCTCACTTTCCAGTTCAGCTATTTTGTTCTAGATTGTTCAATTCTCCTGCCTTCTGCAAACCCTTTTGTGAATAACCCTGTTAAAGTTGAATAGGTGTCAAAAGAAAATATAATATCTTAGATAAGATAAGATCCTGCAATACGCTTTATTGTGCTACGTTTCCATTGAAAAACCACCTGAGCTACTCCATCTAAGGGGAGAGAGGATCCCAGTTGAGTTGTGAAAGGACATGTAGCACAAGAAAGCCTATTGTGGGTTTGTATCTCAAAGTGCCACGGCTGTCATTTCCTTTCCAGAATCATTGCCAACACCTGGGACTTATAAGAAGAAGTCTTCTTTTTAAAATAAAGTTGTTAAATCTAGAAGAAAAAAACTATACATGAAACTTGCTATACTTACTTGGAGTTGGTTGGGGTAAAGACATTGTAGAAATCTCTGGCAATTTGGTTTCCATACCATGCTGTTGCAATAAGAACACATAGCCCTAGAAAGAAAAATTCCATAAGACATTAAAACATTAAATAAAAAAACTACAGACACAGATCAACAATTCATTATCACCATATGTGGCCATAAGTAGCAAGGGGAGTCATATGTAGAGGCACCAAAAGATATTTTGAAATATTTCACCATCAACTTAAAAACTCAGATACCCTATGTGTACGTTTCAAGCAGTGCAAGTGTAGGAGTACGTGGCCAGGCTCCTTTGGCACTAACTCAACTTGATGGCAACAGCATTTGGCTGAAAATATCCAGCAAGGTTGATGGCTATTTTCCCCACATTGTTCAGCCCAGGATGTCTGATGCTATCTGATTGTGTTCATAAAAGAAAGAAATCTGCTGGATTGGGTAGCATTCCTCACATGTCTATGAATACATTACAATAGGGTATACACATATATATTTTATTCTTTTAACCAGCGGGCTGAGGAAAGAAAATATAACAGATTATCCCATCCACGCTAAACAACGTGCATGGACGAATCCCCTGCTGCTTCTTTTGTATTCTACCATTGGCTGCTGTCGGAATACCCAAACAAAGCTGCTGAATCAGCCAAAATTCGCTCTGTGTATACCTGGCTTAAGACTATCTCTGCCAATTCTATATAGCTATTTGATTACACAGGAAACTGCAGCCTCCGTAAGTGGTAGTAATATTGTTCTATTCAATGGATGACCATCAGAAACTCAATACAGAAACTGCAGGAATTGTCAGTTGGCAATTAACCCACTTTATTAGTTTGAAATGGTCTGCATGTGTAACTATTCCCAAAGACATATATCTGTTTGAGCTTTCTGGAAATTATAGTGTCATTATTTTAAAGTGCAGAATATTGTATATGAATTACGTAACCAACCACCACTCTATATGGGACACCAACAAATAATTATACTTACCAGCAATAATGAAAAGAATTCCACCAACGATTCCAACCTTGGCTTTCTTCACCTCATCATCTTGAAGGCAAGTTAAGCATTTCATTCCCACTAAAGCAATGCAAGCTGCAAAGAAGCCCAACAGAATTCCACAAATCATCAATGCCCGAGTAGCCTGCATATTGCCTAGTAAAAGGAAAAGAGAATATTACAAATTATATTCATATTCATTACACATTATGTAAAGCATGACAAGAAACCAGTTCCCAAACACTGGTCAAGAGGCATGGCAGCCTGAAAAATATAGTGAATTCACTTTGTATATATAATTTCTTTGTGCACGCTTGAGCCTTCTATTTGCTTAGAGCGTAAATTGAAAAAGAAAGGTAACATACTATGGGGTCTATTCACAAAGCTGCTGAGGGCAGCCGAGTGAATGAACGATCTGAAGTTGGCTTCGTGTGGCTTCGGGACGGCCGAACATGCTCAGCATATTCGGCCGACCAGAAGTGCAGAAGGAGTTCGACTCAGCCAACATCTCGATCGGCTGAGCCGAACCTCCGGCAGGCTACTCACTGCTGTTCGGGCTATTCTTAAAGATCCCGAACAGCAGTGAGTGAATAGCCGGCGGCATTCGGCTCGGCTGTTCTGCTCGGTCCCTCAGAGGTACCGAGCAGAACAGAAAAAGAGTGAAAAAAGTGAAAAAAGTAAATAGCAAACGATTGTGCGGAGCTAGCAGTGACGGCTAGCTCCGGCCAATAGTTTCCTATTGTCAGGCGGCTCTGCTGCTGTCAAAAAATTAAACTCTCCCGGGCGCTCTGGGAGCCTCCCGCTCCCGGCCGCCCTGGAGAGAAACAACGCTGTGTCTTTTTTTTTCTTTATTCTGACACGATCGATGTCAGAATAGAAACAAAAATAAAAAAAATGTTCCCATTGAAAAGCATTGGTGTAGAACCGAAGGGGTGCTTTACGGGCTATTCACAATAGCCCGTACAGCTCCCGATCGTGGCCGAGCGGCTCAGCCGAGCCGAGCGCATATGCCAATGGCCGGCCGCTCGGCCAGCTTCGGCTTTCAGCACGGCTCAGCCGAGCCGATGCATATGCGTTCGGCTCAGCTGAGCCTCTCGGCCACGATCGGGAGCTGTACGGGCTATTGTGAATAGCCCGTAAAGCACCCCTTCGGTTCTACTGAACCAAAGGGGTCCTGGGGCCGAAGCTAGCAGAAGGATCGGCCGAAGCTACGGCCAGATCCTTCGGCAGCTTCGTGAATAGACCCCTATATTGCTAGATCCCTATTAGGGGAAGTTAACAAATTTGTTAAGTTATGCTTATATGACATACAAGAACACCGACCTTAAACTCCAATAGCCCAACTCTGGAAAAAGCTTCATAGGGTTGGGAAAAGTGATGAGCAAACTTCGCAACAAACATATTTGCATGCAGATCCATCTGATCAGCAAAAAATCATGCAATACAGAAATTAAGCCGACAAAGCTTCATGAATTGCATGAATCATCAAGGATTGTACAAATCTGCAGGCATACATGTGGGTGAACTGTACTCTGTATCTGAACACTGCAAGTGATTATTCAACGCTGCGGCTACCAGAGAGAATGTCGTCATATTAATCGTACACTAATAAACTGAGCACTGTTACTTGGTCTAATTAGTGAACTGGCATATGCCCAAAGCTCTTTGTTAGTGAAAGATTCCCATTACCTTTAAATGTTTGCCTAACAAGCAGACAAATCCACCAGGCCTTGAAAGTTGCCCCTAGTGTTTGAACACATGATATTCCATGATACATAAACTCTCATTTGCAAGTCACATCTTATTTGATATAGATTCTACATCCTGGTAAATTTTCCACTTGTATAATGAATATGATAAAAAGCTATAATTAATGTTAACTTAGTTCATTCCTGTAGGCCATAGAGGGAAAGAATTACAGCTGAAAATATTCACATATTCCTACTAAAAGCCTGCCATATATTAAAACTTTTAATCTTTATACTGACTTTAACCTTTCTAATGATAAATAAAAATATTCATTTTTGATTGGGATGAAGGATGAATCAGAGTTCTAATGAGTGTTATCATGTTTCATAACTACATTTGGTGGTTCAATTGTGTTTGTGATTATCACGTTATTATGTTTGGCTTCCATGCTATTATTTTGTAGCAAACTGCTCTTGTTATGCTTCTGCTGATCCCAGATTTGGTGACCATATAATAACATATTTTAAAGTCTTCCTGTCTGAAATTCTCTGCTAAGTCCTAACTTGAAAAGTAGCATGTGTTTAACTTGAACACAGGTTGAAACCTGACATTGTTTTCTTTGCAAGTTCATCCAAATTATTCATTTCCCAAGGGTTACCCTACATGAAATCATGCCCATTCATGTTTTATGTGTACATATTTGAGACAAAGTTTAATAATCACTATTTTTTTGTTGTCAAAAATATTGGGACCATAAGTATCCGAGAAGAGAAAAATAATACCAAATTTAGGTTCTTTTAAATGTCATTTTTAGCCTGGTTTGGGTGACTTGATTGGTATACTCACAACAATTTTCTAACACTGAACCAAAACTGCAGTAATTTAAAATGGATGTAGTTACAAATCTGAACCTCACTTGGCTCAGTTGCATAATGGTTTAAGGCTAATTATATGTATATATAAATGGGGTTGAAGTAATTACGGGAGTCAGCAGCTAATGTACCTAAAAATTATAGCTGGCAGCTAATGTTTTTGAATGTTTTTGAAGAATGATGGTGAGATAGTTGATGTCACAACTACTGTATGCATTTGGCCGATGTTGCAGACAGTTAAACCTTTCATCCTGCTTCTACATGATGGGAGGATTGGTTCCCAATGCAAAAATATTTTCAACAAGTTGGCAGAAAACCATATTATCGCGGCCTAGGGAAGCACTGCATGGTCTAATTCTCTCAGAAACATGACTGCAAGTGTTCCCCTCATACCAAAATAGGGCAAAATGTAGCCACTCTATGACTGTTAAAAGTGCCCGCTCAATTTTGGATAAAACTAACCAGTTTTTGGCTCTTAACATTAATTTGTCTATCCTGTCATTTCAACATGACATTTCTTTGCTTACGAACCAACAGATAAAGTAGAAGAAATTGCTAAGTAATAAACCAGGATGTAAACAATCCCTCCCCTTTTCATCCTATGGACCTGCATATATTTTATAACAAATTTACAGTCCAGATACATTTTTAGTGGTATTTTTATGTGGACACATGGCCAGAAAGCTCCAGCTCTTCTGTGTACTGTAGAGGGCTGACAACTGGAATTAATTCCCTAGAGCAGTGATATCACCTGCCGGCATCCATTGTTTTAGGTGTTGTCGCACCAGCTGCACAATAGCTAGTGAGAGATCGGAGCTGTGCAGTCACGTGATCACATAGAAAAAAATGCTAAAGTATTTACACTTGTTATAACATGTATGCAGGTCCATGGGGAGAAAAGCGGAGGGAACATTTCAGTGCTGGTTTATTACTTAGCCCTTCCTTGTACTTTAATAGCTAGAAAAACTGAAAAAAACATTCACTCTATATGTAATCAATTATGTTACCTGGATGAATACCTACACTCCTACTGTTTTCAAAAATTGGCAAAGAGAACCACTTCTATGTAACAGTGTCACAACAGTAAAATAACAAGTAAAACCTTCTTTAGAGACAAAAGGAGCAAAAGTTATAGATAACACCCAATGTTAATCTTTACCTTCAAAACATTACCTACATAATACTAAGGTTGTGCAAACTTGAGCAGTGATACATTTTAATAGATTTTCTATCATATGAATCTCTAAAGGTCTACAGTTGATTTATACATTTTCTCATTACCGATTGCCAAAAACTGCACTGGTTTAAAACATGTCCCTGGATACTTAGTGGGTTCTGAGAATATAAAATTATCACACTTACAATGATAGACTTGAAGACGTCTTCCCCATGTGACATCACTGCCCTAATAATTAATTACTATACATCCCTTTCAGTGTATCACCTAAAATGGAAGTAGAGTTCCTAATTAAGCCATTAGCATTAGTATTAGTTCCTTACTAGGCCAATTATGTCAGTATGGTGGGAATTCTTTGGGGTTTCAAGTTGGATAACTACTAGATTCCAGTTGAGTGACTAGAGCTCACCTGGGACAGGTAGTCAATACTCCTATGTTTCCTGGTTGAGAGACCAAATTGCAGTCTGCATTCAAAAGTGGAATCTTAATTTGTCTTCCTTTGGAGTACTTTTTAATAAGTTAACTAATTCTGAGAAGCAAATTAAATATTCAGTCGATAGAGTGAATAATGGGATCTGCATTATCGATTCAGTTGCATGGCAAATTTTCCATTAGTTTCTAATTTCTAATGGATGCCTCACAGCAAAATAAAATTGTGACAAATGTTACACCATACGGAATTGGGCCACATTGCAAGCAGATGCTGTAGTGGTAGGTGCAGTGCAACGTTTGTGAGAACATCATGACATATATTAACAGAACATCTTGGTATTATTATTACAAAAAAACCTAATTGTTTCACAAAGAAGTCATGAATATTTTAGTGTAATGTTTTGAGACCCTTCAGAATTACTGCATTAGTATCATCAGTATGATGATTAATATGATCACTGATGTCTTCATGAAGGAGTCCTGTGAAGTTATGAAACATAGCACTATTATATTGCTGCCTGCTTTGTGAACTAATCATGAGATCATCTGCTCAATGGCCCTAGATTATTGAATATGAAAAAGTAGAAATCATCTGCAATTATCATACCTGGTAAGTCCTCCCCCTCAATCTCTTTTTATAAGCATCTCCTGCCTGATCTCATTGTTTCTTCACTGACTTCAACTAGCTAGAATTACCCAGTGTATGTAGTTATTTGTGTTAGTCACTCTAATCCTGTTGTCATCAAACGATGATCAGCATGATGATGCACTTACTGGGGAGAGCCAGGAAGGAAATGACTATCCGCATAAACTCTGTTAAATAGATAAATCTTATACGTGCTCCCCTAAGGATCATATATATAAACTCCTTTTTTTAACATTTGGGTAATATTCATAAAATAGATTCTTTGGAGCTGATTTTCTAAAGTAACAGTAATTTATTGATTTACCAAGAAATAGGGAAACATGAAGACACAGACAGTTAT